GCATCCACAGTCAGGAAGCGGCTGGTCACATGGCATCCACAGTCAGGAAGCAGCTGGTCACATGGCATCCACAGTCAGGAAGCGGCTGGTCACATACATTCACAGTCAGGAAGTGACTGGTCACATGCATCTACAGTCAGGAAGCAGCTGGTCACATGTATTCACAGTCAGGAAGCGGCTGGTCACAGGGCATCCACAGTCAGGAAGCAGCTGGTCACATGGCATCCACAGTCAGGAAGCTGCTGGTCACATACATTCACAGTCAGGAAGTGACTGGTCACATGGCATCCACAGTCAGGAAGTGACTGGTCACATGGCATCCACAGTCAGGAAGCAGAGAGAGATGAACGCTGGTGCTCAGCTCACTTCTCCTTTTTACTCAGTCAGGGACCCCAGTTCCCAGGACATCATTGTCCACATTCAAGGAGAGTCTTTCTTCCTCACTTAAACCTCTCTGGAAATGTCCTCACAGACACACCTTTTGGTGCCTCTAAATCCAATTAAGATGACCATGATGATGGACCTTCACACCTACCTTGGGAAGTGGCCATGCTTTTCCCGGTAGGGGGTACCTGGGGATGAGGCCATAGTGGGTCCCACAGAGACACCCTATGTGGAGACATCAACATGCAGGGCATGCAGAGCACACCAGTTACCCCAGCACTTGGGAGGCTGAGGCAGGAGACTTGCGTGGCAAACTGAAGGCCAGCCTGGCCTATATAAGGAGTTACAGGTCACCCTGGGCCACATAATGAGACACTGCCTAAAATAAAAGAAAATAAGTAAAACTCAGGAAACAACCACAAAAGCCAGATTTTGCATAGTAGAATAAGATTTGGGGTGTGTGTGGGGGGGCACTTAGAGACAGAGTCTCAAGTAGCCCAGGCTAACTTTGAATTCCTTGTGTAGCTGAGGATGACCCCTTTGGGTACTGATCTTTCTCCTTCTACAGGTGTGTGCTGTCACACCCAGTCAAATGTAATAGTTTGATTTTTAAATTACACTTATTTATTCTTTAGAGTGTTGTTGAGGGTGCATGCACCACAGCGCATGTGTGGTGGTCAGAAACCACCTTGCAGGACTTGGTTCTGTCTTTCTACCATGTGTGTCACAGGGATCAAGCCCAGGTCACCAGACTCAGCAACAAGCACCTCTACCCGCTGAGACATCTAGACAACTCCCCTAATACAGAGTTCTAAAACATTAAACATTAATACAAAAAATCTCTACAAGAACATATCAAAAATGTGGAGAAAGATGAACCAGTCTGGTGCCCTGGAGCCTGGGCACAGGGCAGATCAGATCTGAGCACACAGTGTCCCTTCTCCCATTTTGAGACTGAGGTTTGGAGTGTTCCTTTGTTACTGTTCTTTTGCTGTGAAGAGACACCATGACCAAGGCAACTTATAAAAGGAAGCATTTAATTGGGGCTTGCTTACAGTTTCAGAAGGTGGGTCCGTGGTCATCATGGTGGGAGGCACGGCCGTGGACAGGCTGGGGTGGTGGCTGAGAGCTCATATACATCTGAAACTTGTTGGCAAAGAGAGTGAGACTGGACCCGGCTTGGGCTTTTGAAACTTCAAAGCCCACCCCAGTGACATGCCTTCCCCCACAAGGCCGCACCTCCGAATCCTTTATACACAGTCCACCAGCTGGGGACCAGTCATTCAAATACATGAGTCCATGCAGGTCATTCTCGTTCAAACCACCCCAGAGTGACAAGGCCATACGCACTGTCCTTGGCTTAGGGGTGTGGTCCCAGGCTACCTCTTCTTCTCACTGCCTCCTTGAGTTTCCTGAAAGTTCCACAGCTTACACTCATTGACACCATTGTCCCCACTAGAGCTCATTGTTTCCACTAGAGCCACAGAGGTTTGCAAATCAAAATTCATCCCCACACCAGTCTTCGATTTTTGTTTGCCTTTTGAGACAGGGTCTCACGGAACTCAGGCTGGCCTTGAACTTCCCACTGTCAGGACTCACCATCCCGAGTACTAGGGTTACAGTTGTGGCAGGCGGCTGCCTCGCCTCGAGCCTGACATACGATGTGTGCATCCTCCCGGCACTGTCCTCCCTCCTGAGCCCCCAGTGGGTGACAGGCCTTGCTGTGACTGAAATACCTGCAAGCCTCTGCCTGCCTCGGGGCCTTTGTCCCAACACCTTAGATGTTTGCTTAGCTCACACCATCCTCAGTTTACTGGGGCTCGGATCCATTGTCACTTCTTCAGAGAGGCCGATGACTCCCTTCCCTGGTCCTTCTGGGCACATTCTGCCTTTCTGTCCTCTGCATGCTGGTCATGCCTGCCTGGCATTTACATAAAAATGCTGGGGATCCAAACCCTGGTCACCACACCTGTGCACCAAGTGCATTTCATAGTGGAGCCGTCCACAGGGCAGGGCCTGCAGTCTTCTGTGTCCCTACCAGTGGAGGGATTTTGTCCATAATGCCAGATCACCAAATTTAAAGGCATCGATCCTTTTCTGCCCCCCCACCCCAGGCTCTGTGAGCATTTTTAGAACAAGTGAATGAACAAAGAAACTCCCATATCTCCCCCAAAGCTCTGGCACTGTCACATCCCACCTCCACCCTGGGACCCCCTTTCCAGCCAGTTCCTGGGCTGCCCCCCACATCTTCGGCTCCCCATACTCTCTGTCTGGCCCCCTTAGCAGCCAGTCCCTGCCCCCCCATATTTTCAGCTCCCCACATTCCCTGTCTGGCTCGGATTACTGCCAGCCACCCGCAGACAGCAAACGTGGACCAGCTGTGCCGCAGGAAGCCGCCTGCACCTCGGCACGATGGCAGGATGTCTTCAGTTAGCGTAAATCGTCTCTGAGAAGTTCGGGCTTTCCCTCTGTGTAAAATGTCTATCATTAATTCTGACTTGGAGATCAAACAGTCAACACCACGTTGGTCCCCACTTACTTCCGTGTATCAGACCATTCCGGAGAGTTACGGCGACCCTCTGACAAACACACCCGTGTCAGGAGGAGGCCCAGTGGGGACCCTGGGAGGAAGCCATTAGCTGGTCTGCCCACGGCCTCCGGTCGCCGGTGCCTCGTTCCTACCCTTCTCCTTGAACACTGCTTTTTTTCTTTCGCTTTCTGCCTTTCCCCCTTTCAACCAGAGGAAACAGACATCGCTAATTCATCATCCTGGGCGGCATCAGAGGGAGGCTGGGAAATGAAAAGGCTCCATTGAGCGGCACTGGGTTTGCCCATCCCTCTGTGCACATGAGCTCCTGCATGGCTACTTTGTGAATGGACTTTTCTTCTCTTCAGGATGTGCTGTCTTGTCAGCAAAGTCCTGTGGCTCTTCACACTCTGTACCCAAAATGCCGGGATTTCTAAGACGGCACCATATCTTCAGATGTTCTGGGTCCAACGGGTCCAAATGAATATAGATAAGTCAACAACAAACTGGTTACCACAATCCAGGGAGTGGTGGGGGACTGTGGGAATTGCAGAGCCCTACCCAGCCAGCAGGGGGAGCCACTGTT